CATATATAAGAAATATCCAAAGCTCAACCTAATGAGAAGCCATTAGGAATAAACCAGTAAGGAGAACTCCTCCATGGTTTCTGCTTCCGTCCCTGCCATAAAGTTCCTGTCTTGAGTTACTGTCCTGATGTCCTGGATGATGGAGAGATACTTGGAAGTATAAGAATTGCCTGCAGGATTTCTGAGTAAAGGCAGAAGATCCCTCTCATAGAATTTTTGACTCAGTAGGTCTGGATGAAGCCTAAGTGGGTTCTATTCAATATAATTTTAGGAGTTGCTGGGTGGTCTGGGCCCTGAAATAAATAATTAGAATTGCTAGCTACCCTTCAAATAATTGTTCAATATTCTTTATTCACCATAATTTAAATTATTTATAAAGGCCTATATATGCTCTATCAGTTCATCTTTGACTAATTCCTTTATTTCAAAAAATGACGTATGTATTCATAGGAATGATTTTTATTCTTATGAGTATAAATGTCCCAAGATACAAGAGGAAGCTGTCAGATCCCTGGCACAGAAGAAGGAGGGAGTTATGTTTTACCTCTGTGTGTATGAGAACTAAACTCAAGTTCTCTGCAAAAGTATTATATCCTAGCCGGGCGGTGGTGGCGCACGCCTTTAATCCCAGCACTCGGGAGGCAGAGGCAGGCGGATCTCTGTGAGTTTGAGGCCAGCCTGGTCTACAAGAGCTAGTTCCAGGACAGGAACCAAAAGCTACGGAGAAACCCTGTCTCGAAAAATCAAAAAAAAAAACAAAACAAAAAGTATTATATGCTCTTATTGTCCTTAGTGAGGGACACATACAAACACACACACACACACACACACACACACCCCACACACACCCACACCAAGAATTTACAAGTGCAACTTCATGTGTGCATTAAATTCACAATCTTATACTGACTAAAGAATCTATTGCATAGAATTTAATAAAGAAAAGCAATATATTTATCTTTGTTATATTTTAACATAGTGAGCTAATTCTTAGAAGCTTTTGATCCTTTAAGATAAATTTTTCTAAATCTTTACCTGTAATCAAAATCTCTGTCACATTTACTTCCTCCCTCCTCCCTTCCTCCATCCCTTCCTTCATTCGTTCTTTCCTTCCTCCCTTTCTTCCCTCCCACCTTTCCTTCTTTTATGAATGTTCAAGAATGGAAAAAAAAATAGTCTTGTCTAGCTGGTGGGACAGGTCTCTATATCCCATACTCAGTAGGATAAGGCAGATGATTTTATCAATTATTTTCTTGAATTTTAAAATAAGAGCCATCGTGCTGACACACACCTTTAATCCCAGCACTCAGGAGACAGATGCAGGTGGATCTTTGTGTGTTTGAGGCCAGCCTGATCTACAAGAGCTAGTTTCAGGGCAGGCTACAAAGCTACAGAGAAATTCTGTCTTGAAAAACCAAAAGGGGACTTGTTATGCAGCTTTGTTGGTAAATTCTAACTTTAGCACCACATGGAAGAGAATGTGGGTGTACACCTGTAATCCTAGTACTCAGGAAATGAAGGCAAAGGGATTAGTCCTTTGAGAGTTCAATGACAGCCTGGGCTACACAAAAGCCTCTCTTAAAATAACATAATGGTTTTAACTTAATTTAAAAGCTAATGAAAGGACTGTGTCTATAGCTTACTAGCAACGTGGCTTCTAACAAGTAAATACCTCTAATATCAATCCCAAATAACACACACACACACACACACACACACACACACACACACACACAAATATTAACCTTCCACAGTTAAGCATAGAGAAATGAGCTTTCATTCAGACACAAAGTTAGCAGGCCATCTATACATCTATAAAACAATGAGTCAAACTCCAACTTGGAGCATTTTTCTACAGTGTAGGTATAAGACAAGACCTTCCCCAGACAGAGCAGTTACAAAAGTTCTGGTGTTCAAGTAGATAAATGAGATATAATTACATAGAAAAGTAATTAGAAATTACCAAATTTATTTCCTCAAAAATATTTCATTTAATTGATTCTCAACCCATTTAATCAAGTTTATGCAGTTTATGTTTTAATTATAGACAATGTCTACCAGGAAGCTTTCAAAATTCCTGAGAAAATCTGGTGTTTGGACTTCTTGTACTTAGCTGACTTCTACACAGCACTGCTATTGTTTAAACTCTGTCCATTGCCTTGTTTGAGTTTCGGACCTTGGAACCTATGGCACACATCTTAGGTCGTACCTTCTGATCAGGTTAATTGTATCCTTTGGTAAAGACCCCGTGAGGTCTCCTGCTGGAAGACATGTGCTTCACTGCATGAGCCTAAAGCCCCCTTTTCTCCCAGCCCCACCAAGGGGGTCCCACCCTTCTCTCCTCTGTCCCCTGGTCACTGACCCTGTTGTACTTTGACTATTAGACTAGAAGAACTGCAGCCTCCTTTAGCGTGATGCAGTCCACTTATATCTTCCATCATGGCTCTAGGTTCAGTCCCTAGTACCACAGAAAAGGGAAAAACAGTTCTAGTTTACTAGCTAGAAGTTCAAATGGTCATGGATGTAAAAGACCAGGGACCCTCTGAGAGCACGGGTTTTAAGACCACTGGCAATTTTTAGAAATTAGAATTCCACCATGTGGTTCTTGGGAACTGAACTCAAGTCATCAGGCTTGACAGAAAATTTCTTTACTAGCTGAGCCATTTTTCTAGTTCACACACGAGATTTTGTTAATATTTTCTGTATCTTTTAATACTCCAGCTAATTAAAGTTTTCATTAAAGAATGAATGGTTTATATTGAACTAATAGATAATAACTTCGGGAAGCTAAAAGTACATATATACCTATAAGTGTGTGCGCACATGCGCGTGAGCGCACATAAATACACACACATACACACACACTTAAAGACAGATGGGCACAGGAGATCGCTTCCTATGTATAACCCCAGAAGCACAGACATTAAGGGCAACATTGAATAAATGGGACCTACTTAAACTGAGAAGCTTCTGTAAAGCAAAGGACACTGTCACTAAGACACAAAGGCAACCTACTGACTGGGAGAAGATCTTCACCAACCCCGCAACTGACAAAGGTTTGATCTCCAAAATATATAAAGAACTCAAGAAACTAGACCGCAAAAGCCTAATCAACCCAATTATAAAATGGGGCACTGATCTGAACAGAGAATTCTCAACAGAAGAACTTCAAATGGCCAAAAGACACTTAAGGTCATGCTCAACTTCCTTAGCGATCAGGGAAATGCAAATCAAGACAACTTTAAGATACCACCTTACACCTGTCAGAATGGCTAAAATAAAAAACACCAATGATAGCCTTTGCTGGAGAGGTTGTGGAGAAAGGGGTACACTCACCCATTGCTGGTGGGAATGCAAACTTGTGCAACCACTCTGGAAAGCAGTGTTTCGGTTTCTCAGGAAATTCGGGATCAACCTACCCCTGGATCCAGCAATACCACTCTTGGGAATATACCCAAGAGTGGCCCTATCATACAACAAAAGTATATGCTCAACTATGTTCATGGCAGCATTGTTTGTAATAGCCAGAACCTGGAAACAACCTAGATGCCCTTCAACGGAAGCATGGATGAAGAAAGTATGGAATATATACATATTAGAGTATTACTCAGCAGTAAAAAACAAGGACTTCTTGAATTTTGCATACAAATGGATGGAAATAGAAAACACTATCCTGAGTGAGGTAAGCCAGACCCAAAAAGAGGAACATGGGATGTACTCACTCATATTTGGTTTCTAGCCATAAATAAAGGACATTGAGCTTATAATCCATGTTCCTAGAGAAGCTAAATAAGAAGGTGAATCCAAAGACAAACACATAGGCATCCTCATGAATATTAACCTTCATCAGGCGATGAAAGGAGACAGAGACAGAGACCCACATGGGAGCACCGGACAGAAATCTCAAGGTCCAAATCAGGAGCAGAAGGAGACGGAGCACGAGCAAGGAACTCAGGACCACGAGGGGTGCACCCACACACTAAGACAATGGGGATGTTCTATTGGGATCTCACCAAGGCCAGCTGGCCTAGGTCTGAAAAAGCATGGGATAAATCCGGACTAGCTGAACATAGCGGACAATGAGGAATACTGAGAATTCAAGAACAATTGCAGTGGGTTTTTGATCCTACTGCACGTACTGGCTTTGTGGGAGCCTAGGCAGTTTGGATGCTCACCTTACGAGACCTGGATAGAGGTGGGCAGTCCTTGGGCTTCCCACAGGTCAGGGAACCCTGATTGCTCTTCGAGCAGATGAGGGAGTGGGACCTGATCGGGGGAGGGGGAGGGAAATGGGAAGCGGTTGCGGGGACAAAGCAGAAATCCTTAATAAATAATTAAATTTAAATAAAAAAAATAAAATAAAATAAAGACACATACACATAGTTAGCTTTAAAGGCCCACTTGTTATAGCTTAGCATTACCTAGTAAGTGTCAATTGAGTCTTTATTATACTGGTTTGAATGTAGGAGACTCTCTTGGTTGTTAATTGAGGTAGGGTTATCTACTCTGTGATCTACACAATCCCACGTGGCAGGTTCTGAACTGTATAAGTGAGAAGAAAGCTTCTTGACAAGAAACAAATAATAAAAATGCATTTATTTTCTTTACTCTTAACTGCAGATGCAATATGACTATTTGAGTTCTTGCCTTGACTTCTGTGAAATGATGGTTAACAATCAAGAATCATAAGCTAAATAAACCCCTTGTTAGCCGAAGTGTTTTGTTGTTGTTTGTTTTTGTTTGTTTACACAGCAACAGAAATGAAACTAAATACACACATGCACGTACATACACAAAGGCATACATAACTACCCACATGCATACATATGTGCATACAAAAAGTTAAAAAAGAAGTATTGATTTTAGCTGGCACTCTTGATACCTCATCAGCTGCACACAGTTTGGCAAAGGCATTTCCAGACATAGCCCAGATGGAGGAACTTAAAGGTTCTATTTACAGACAACCTACTTCTGGAAACTAGCAGAGAGGACTGACTTACCTCATAGTCAATGTCCAAGACATCAGTCTCACCCTTGGTCCGGAAGTGCTGTGTGTTTGTGTCCACGGTAAAGTTTGCCTGTTTGCCCACGCGCTCCAGGAGAACCGAGTGCCAGTGCTGGTCATCCAGAAGGCTTCCCAGCACAACAGAGGGTGTGATGCTGCTGAGTCTAGCTTTGCTGTCATCTGCAGAGGGGAAAACAGGATGGAGTCTTAGCCCAGGTAGCTTTGAATCCTGCCCATCAACAGCAGTGAGTACTGACCTCCTGAAGTTTCTTCAAATAAAGACCACTTGAGCTGTCCCTCCACACCTGCACAGCTAAAACCCTTTGTAGGAGTCATCTACAAGCTTTTCCCACAGATTTTAGAACCCAATTTTACCACAAAAAATATACAACCCCACTTCACAAAAGGAAACATAATGGTTCTGCGACACCAGTAATTGCATAGTGACAGGAATGCTTATAATGTTGGCCACAGAAATAAAATTTAAAAGAGACGTTTCCATATTCAGAAAAAATTAACTAGATTTATACTCACATGTTTTCTAATATTATAAATGAGGAAATCAGGTCTTGAACTGGCTTGGGAGTATGCCAATAGTCATACAGAGTATCTGTGCACACAGGAGCAGAGAAAGACAACCATTCCAGCTGCAACTGTCGAGTGCCTACGGCATGAATTGATTCTCTACCAAAAAAGTTATGACTGCCACCATACAGAATTTTGTCTCAAATTTAAGGGGCAACTATCATTACTGATACGTAATTTTTAAAATCCTTATAAATATCGTGTGTGTGTGTGGGTGCACACTGGAATGCAAGTGCATGAGTTCATGTTTATAAAGTTGCTTCTCTTCTTCTCATGTGTGTGCTGCTGTATACTCTAACCTATCCGGTTTCGTAGCAAGCACATTTACACACCAAAACATCATTTAGGCTCCCAATACATTAATTTCCATTTGAGAGAATAGTTTATGTCCCTACCTCTTCATAATATGATACATAAATGTGTTTCTTCTTTCTTGCACTGTGTCATTCTTGACCCCACCTGTACTCACCTGTGCACAGGTGGCAATATGTGACATTCAGGAGTCAGGAGAAGCTAATATCCCTGTAGGATGCTCACTCCGACCTCTAGTATGGATTAATGGTGCTGTTCATCTCACTGAGTCAAGATGTCTGGCTTCCTGCCAAAGCTGGAATGTTTATGCTCCACTTAGCATACTTGAAAAGCAGGGCTGGTGAATTAATATCTGATTCTGTTTTGTTGGTTTATTATTTATGTATTTCATAAGCCTTGAATTCCCACAATTGTCATATCATGCTAATGCCTTAATAAACATCCCTGTCTCTTCTTTCTGACGTTCCTTCAAAGAACATTGTGATCTCTACCAAAACTGATCATGGTCATACAGAGAGACAATATGGAGGTAGGTGGAGCTATCTCTTCTGAAAGTTCCAGTGTTGGTGTAATCCTGTAATAGTAGGACAGGTGACTACATAAACACAGACTAAAGGCAAAGTACACAGGAAGAGGTGGTGGCTACCCAGCTCTTCTCTTTTACAGTGCATCCCTGCTTTGAGATCACAGAGGAAATCTCCAAGTGTGTTTCATCATTACTTCATTGAGAATTTAGAAACCCAGTTCATGCTTTATGTAGGAAAGCAGGCAGTTGGTACTATCTGAACCCCACTAGTGCCCTATCTTGAATGAAGATCTTAAGAAAAAATGGTCACTGAGGTACAGACTCAGGAAGCTATGCTGCTAAGCTAAAGTTGGGACATTAGACGGGAATTTCTAAGTCCTGGTCCTTTAACCTAGTCATCTGCATTCTCAAAATGTATTCTAAGGCAATAAATTAATGGTGATTAGTGATTTAAAAAATGGAGATTAAGGTTCAGTAGTTTGCAGGGAGATTAAACATATATATATAAACAACAAAAGGGTATTAGATAGCTGTTCCAGCAGCGTTTTAAGGTTCTCATAATATTTTTAAATATTTTAAATATTTATGAAAACTACATGTTTAGATGAAATCAAAGTGACAGCTAATCAATAAAATATCTAAGAACTTAAAATTCTTAAGATACATACAAGTAGAACAGAAATGTGTGTATATATGCACAGTAAACACAACTATGCAAAAACATTAATAAATACTATAAACTCATAAAATGCAAAAATTTGCCACATAAAAAAGATTTTTCATTTCTATTTTACAGTTAGAATTAAATTACAATGTGAATCCTCTGAGAGTTACTAAACGCCACAAGGAGTTTCATGTGTGTATGTCCTTGGTGAGTGCAGGGTGAGTTCATGTTGGTCAAGTTCTTAATATATTCTACCAGTGAGTTATGTCCATACTCATAGATTCAGTTTCTATTATGAGTATTTGCTGATTTATGGGGTTAGTGTGAGTGTGAGCATGCAGTGGTGTGCATGTGTAGACCAGAGAAAAGTGTATGAGTTGGTTTTCTCCTTCTGCCTCCTGGGTCCCAAGGTTTGAAATCAGGTTGGCATCCTTGGGCAACAAGCACCTTTACCCATGGAGCTATCTCACCAGTGCCTGAGGCTGGTTATTAATTGATTCCAAAAATGAAGATATGAATGAACTCCATCTAATCCTTCTTTAGTTATTTTTTAGCAAGAACTCAGATATCCTACACCAAAACAAGTGAAAGTTAGTTTGATAAAAAAAAATGAGGAAAAAAATCTATTTGAGGATTAGTAGCTTAGAATTCTATTGATGAAGAGAGAATAGCAGTCATCTAATGAAACCTCCCCCAGAAATCTAGACTGCTGTTATGGAAACCATAGAAAACAATTCTCAGCACACTGTCACAGTCTTTATTGTGGGACACCGGTTTCCAGTTTTATCTCGGTTGCATTTGATGTTCAATTATCTCATTTTAACAGATTTTCAATTTATTAAGACAAGACAAAAATCCTCATGAACAGTTGAGAAGAATACAAATGAAATAATGAGGAAGAAGCTGCCTTTGGGGACAGAAGCATAAAGAAATTTATTTCTAATTAAATGAAATTCTTTTTTTCTATTTAGTTTGAAAATGATGCAAGTAGTACCTAAGCCTTATTGGAATGAATGTGGGAAACAGACGCTTGCACTTTTAAGAGATTTATTACTTTTAGGGATTTTTATTTTATATGCATGAATACTTTCCTCACATGTCTGTTTGTGTGCCATGTTTGTGCCTGTGGAAGTTAGAAGAGGCCACTGAATTTTTTGGAACTGAAATTATGGATCAATGGCTGTGAGCTGCCATGTGGGTCCTGGAACTTGAACCTAGGTTTTTTGTAAGAGTAAAGATGTTTTTAACTGCCAAGCCACCTCTCCAGCCACCCCTTAAAGATTTATTTTTAGCATTTGTGTGAGTGTGCGTGCCTATATCAGTCAGTGTATATGTGCAGTCGAGTGCAAGTGCCCATGGAGGCCACAAGAGCACCCCCCAATCTTCTGGAGCCAGAGTTATAGGCAGTGTATGAATGTGTGTGTGAGTGTGTGTGTGTGTGTGTGTGAGAGAGAGAGAGAGAGAGAGAGAGAGAGAGAGAGAGAGAGAGAATGTGTGTGTGAGACTGTGTGTGCCTATGAAAGTTAGAAGAGTGCATTGGATCTTCTGGAGCTAGAGTTATAGGCAGCTCAAGCTGACTTGGATGTGAGGAAACAAACTCCAGTCCTCTGCAAGAGCAGGAAGTGCCTTTAGCCACTGGACTATCTCTCCAAATCCCTCCACGCAGTGTTGTTTAAAAAAGAAAAAAAAATAAAGAAAGAAAAAGGAGGAGGAGGAAGAAGAAGGATGAGGAGGAGGAGAAGGAATTGGTTACAAAGAAGCTGTGTGATTTCCGCAAGGACACAGAGAACTAGTTACCATGCCGCTTGACCTGACCCAAAGCTGACAAGCTAACATTTTCTCTATTCTTCCTGCTAGCGAAAGAATGATGCTCACATTCTTCCCCGTCTCTGTGTTCTCACTATCCACATTCAATCCCAGTTCTGTTGTTTGTGAGCAGTTTTTTCAGACTTGGAGTGGAGGGGTTCAGAAAATGACTGGAAGAATTGGAGAGCAGAGAGCTGTGCTGAAGGAAAATGATGGAATACAATGGCAGAGGACATTGTATAGAATGCCAAGGCAAACGATAGCTGCATAGGTTAGCCAGGATCAGAAAAGCATGACTCCAGAGCTGTTTTTTTTTTTTTTTTTTTTTTTTTTTTTTTTTTTATTATAGACGGGACTCACAGTGCTCTCCTAAGGCTGCAAGTGAGAGCACTAAAAACAAAGGAAGTGATTCCAGCTGGTGTGTTCCCATCCCCCACACCAGCTGCCTTCTCAAAAAGACAGGCCAAATCTCTGGGTATCAATAAAGCAATGAAATACAAATGTTGGTCGTAGGAAATCCAGTGTAGGTTACTCCATGCTTGCTGCTTACTGGTGTCCAACTCCTGTGACTTCACCACCGTATAGAGGTGTTCTCATGGTGAGTCTATGTGACACGGTTTGGATGCTGCATGGGTGCTATGTTTTAATTAGCATAGCTTGACAATAAGTAGAAACTTGTTTGTTTGTTTGTTTATCAAGACAGGGTTTCCCTGTGTAGCTTTAGAGCCTTCCTGGAACTCGCTTCGTAGACCAGACTGGCCTCAAACTAATGAAGATTCAAGTGCTTCTGCCTCACAAGTGCTTAAAGCAATGTGCCACCACCACCCAGCCTAAGTAGAAACATTGTTAAAGCAGGGAGTGACAAGTACTTTTAGATCAATAGTTCGAAGCTCATTGTTTAATTGCTGGTGGGTGATAATTAATATTTACTGACAATTTTGCAGGATGTAGAATCACTTAGTAGACAAATCTCTGGGCATGTATGCGAGTTTCTAGTCTGTGCTGAGGTAGGAAGATCCATCTTAAATGTGAGCAACAACTTCTCATGGACTTGACACCAGGAGTGAAATGGAGGAGAAAGTTTGCTGAGCACAGCATCTGTCTCTCTCTCCTTCCTGACTGCAGACACAAAGGGACCACAGGCCATAATTCCATTGGATATGCCCAACCCACCATAACAGACAATAGTACCCTTGCGTTATAAGATGAAATAAATCCTTCCTTCCCTAAGTTGCTTTAGTTGGGTGTTTGGCATAGAAACAGGAAATAAATATATAATCCAACACATGCTTATTTCATATGGTGTAGCAGTTATGAAGTCAGCCAGGGATGCATGAGACCGTGTCTCCCCCCTCCATCCCCACAAAAAGAGAGAGAGAAAGAAAAAGATACTGCATAGGACTTTTATGTGATGTAAACAGAATATGCATGTGTGTGTGTGTGTGTGTGTGTGTGTGTGTGTGTGTATGCCTGGATGTAGGCTCTCAAAATGTAAAAAGCTGGAAAGAAATACTTTTCAGAAAAATTGACAATTATTCTAGAAATCTACAAATACATGTTTGTTGGCTTAGTTAAATGCCTGAAATTCAAAGGAGCTATAAAATAAATGACTACTGAGTTGGATAAACTCACCATTGTCTTGATAAATTGTCATGCAGTCCGTGGCTTTAACCTCTGAACCCTGCACCTGTCTCCCAAAAGACACCCAACTCTGCTAGTGTTCTGTAACAAGATTCTTATTGTTCTCCATCTGCATGTGCTGGGATCATCCAACATTCTGCTCCAGCTCAGAACTATCGAACACTTGTAAGCATGAGTATTTCGCATGCTCTGTTGATGTCTTCTCAGTACTTAACAACAGGTGCCCAGTCCCAGGGTTCTCCTGCCCTTTGATTCTCCACCTGCCCATGTGGTTCTTTCCTTTGTGTTTCTACAGAGAGCAGAAATGCCATGGGCAATTGAAATGAAGTCTTTGAAAGCTGGGAGGAGAGTCACTCCACCCAAGCCCCCATGGACTGAAGAGTGAAATCTCATGCCTAGTTAATAATTCTAAAAAAAAAAAAAAAAAAAAAAAGTCTGTGCTCTACCCTTGGAATGTAGGACAAGGGCAAAGTGAAATTTCACCACAGAACCAATTCTGCCTTCAAAGAAAGGCTAAGGACTAGATAATACAAACTGTCACTTGAACAACAGTGTGCTATATGTCTCTGGTTTACCCTTTCTCTTTGTTTTAATGATTTATTTACGTGTGTGTGTGTGTGTGTGTGTGTGTGTGTGTGTGTGCGTGCGTGTAAGAACAAGCACATGCATGCCGGATGTTGTTCTTCTATTACTTTCTACCTTGTTGTTTTGGAGTTTTGTCTGTTCATTTGAAGCAAGGTCTCACACTGGCTTAGAACTCACTAAGCAGTATAGCTCACCCATCGAGGGAAGTGGCTTCCTAACAAGAGAGTATAGTGAGCCTCTGGGACCAATGTGTTTCTGCCTCCCAAGTACCAGGATTGCAAGCATACACTATTAAACCTGGTTCTTTGCGTGGATTCGGGGATTGAACTCAGGACCTTACGTTTACATGATCAGGAAGTTAGCAAGAGTCATCTCTTCAGCTCATAGTTTATATTTTATCTTCTATGTTGGGTCTCAATTTTATGAAATACTTCTGGAAAATCTGTTCTTTCCCCCTACTTATTTTTCTTTTATTGATTATGTAGGCCAGAGGGATGCTTGGAGTTGCCACTGAAGAAGGACCAGAACAAAGGCACAATGGAGATTCTCATGTTTGTCTCCTGATGAAAATACAGCTTGCTCTGATGTCGCCTATATACTATGATTTTGTTCCGAGTATTGAATTATATTTATCCTTATTGCCTACTTGATATTAAATATTAATAACAATGTATTTCCTCTCCTTTATACAAATAAATATTAACTGGGAAACAGGAAGGGAATCTCAGACAAATCAGCCCATTTCTGGCCCAGACAGATGGCTTCACAGTTAAAGGCATGTGCCATTGAGCAAGATGACTTGAGTTAGATACCAGAGAACACATGGAAAGCACTGAGACCCAATTCCCTTTGTCTTCTGACCTTTACACCTGTGTCATGGCACACCACAGCTACATACAAATAAAGGATTGTCATTGATTTTAAAAAGCCATTTTCCTCTTCTCCCTCTAGCATATTTTTCTTTTTGCTTTTTCTAAAGGAGGGCTCCTTTGGTTTACTTCTATACCCTAAGGAACTCAAAACTTACCTCCTGTGACCTCCCTTGTCCTTCCTTCTATAAGAACTCATAAAAGATACCCTTCCTTTCATCCTGGGGTGAGAAGTTGGGTACTATGAATGTAGATCTACTGGTGATGAGGCAAGCCCAGGGAGTAGCTCACCCATCGAGGGAAGTGGCTTCCTACTAAAAGAGGTGGAAAGGTGTTCTTTACTACTCCACCTGCCATCTGGGTCCCAGGCTCATCCTTCAGGGCAAGGTCATCTTTCAAAGGCAAGCCCAGCAACTCAGCTTTTCCATGCACACATTTTACCTCCCACTAAGAAGAACAAAACGATTATGTGTTTCTCCTGACAGCTTTTTTAATGTGCCTAATCAGCTCAAATATGAGAAGCTCATTATAACGCATGTTTAACATTTTTACGTTACTTAAGATTTTGAGTTTTGAAAAAAAAATAAGGTTAGGTATGTACATTAAAAGAATTTAAAAGTTACATTGTAGCTTCCCTTACATAGAAATATTGTCTTTTACCACAAAATAATACCCATGGCAAAAAGAAAAAGTTTTTTCTATCACATGAATATAAAATATTTGAAAATAAGTGCTTTTCTAAACACAAAGATAAAAGAAATAGATCATGTAGGCAATGCTCCAGTGATACCATTTGATGTTCTGGAAGGTGCTCCCATGCGTGCTATAGTAACCTTGTACAAAAATCAGTAAATATGAACACTTTCATACCTGAATTTGAATCCCTAACACCCATATCCTAAAGGAATAGTAATGATAATAACAATCATAATAATAATTACAACCACAACAAAAAATGTGTGTACAGCTGTGAGAGCCTAACCCAGTGACAGAAGTAGGTGGATCTTTAGAGTTTGCTGGCCACGTAACCTAACCCCAAATCAAGCCATTGTGTCAGTAATATTATCTCAAGGCAATAGTACAGATAGAAAAAGGTGGGCATCTAGTGTCTTGCACTGTCCTCCACATGTGTGTGCATATATATGCACACCTGGATATTCATGTGCATACAACACTCACACACACACACACACACACACACACACACACACACACACACAAGAACCAGTGAGTTCTAGGTTCAGTGAGAGAATGTCACAGAAAATGAGGTGGGGGTGATAGAGGGAGACATGTGGGTATCACTTCTTGCCTCACCAGTCAGGAATACATATGACTCAGTCTGACCCTACCTAGGTTCAGGTACAGGGCTAGCCTGCCCTTCTGGAGCTCCAGGGTGATATAGTCTCCACGCTGTCCTTCTCCATGGAACAGAACCCCATCTCCTTGCATGCTTTTGAACTTCAGGGAGATCACATCTTTGAGGGTGCTCATCATCTTCTGATTGAACCTGTACAAAAGTGAGCTCCTGCCATCAAAATCAGCAACATCTGATTCTGGGAACAGAGAGAAAAGAGGAAAAATATCAGCTTGTTTCCTCAGGTTATTCTTGATTCCCACCCTTGGTCCTGCTCAGTTCACAGGAATGTTCCTAAAATCTTCAAGATCTGTCTTACAAGGAGGCACATGTGGTAGAACCATCCGAAGTAGTCAATAAGGAACCATTCATTTCTAGGCACTAAACACATACCAGACTGAAGTAGAAATACCATTAGAAGTTATTGAGAAAAAAAAAAAAAACAAGAGATGAACAGCAATTTGTCCTGGAAGGGAGCTGACACGTAACCCTCTTCAATGAGCTGTATTGAGATTGGACCACGAGTCAGGAGGTCTAAGCAACAGACAGAAATAATACAATACATGGAGATCCAGATAAGATGGGGCCTTACAGGGAAGGAGTGGCTTGCTTTAAAGCCTTGAGAGGTGCTTCATTGACATGAAGAATAAAAAGGAGATAGGGTGAGCGAGAGAAATACATATCTGCTTTGCAAAGGATGCTGAGAAAGGCCAAAGAAGCCTCCTCAGAGAGCAGCATTTAGAGCTTACATGAAGAAATCTCTCTGGGGAGTCTTGAACCCATCCTTGGAACAAATGGAACATCCAATATTTTATAGCCTTTAGGGGTAGAAGACAGACTGCTTCTTAAATTCTCTGCCACAACAAGAGTTGCAGGGAACTGTGGCTGAGTTAGGTCATGTGATCTAGGATAAAGTTGCAGGCTCATGATTTAACAGCCATGTTCCAGGCTGTGTTTAAGGAGACAGGATGACAGAGCCACAGACACCTACATCAGAATTTTGGACCAGTGCCTGGTTTGTAACAACCACTCATGATTTACCCTTCTTGCTAATTTGATTCTGACATTTAGAGCCATTTTTTTTTTCTCTTCATTATAAGTTCCAAGCTGAAGTTGAGAAAGAGACATCCTTTCTTATGGCAACTCTGGTTAAAGAATTCAGTATTTTCCAGAACTCTGTACTGAGAATTCTGAAGATTCTTTGGAGCTCAGTGAAAAAGAATGGCCAGTGTATGGAGACTCATAATTTTGAACATACTGGTATTGTGATATTGATACCTTTATATGGGCTGGTAATGTAGTTTTAGGGTTTATGCAAAAAACATTCAGTCACTATTATTATGTTGTGGCATTTATTCTTATCTGAGATAGTCCTTTAGTTGAGACATAAACTTAAGGAAATATGTGTAATACCATGAAATCTCTCAGTATGTACACACATTTTCTAATATCAACTCAGTATAAGTCTATCTTGTTTTTGAAACATAGGCTATGTTGATCAGTATGACCTGTTTCCTCCGTTGACAACATATTCCCATTATTATTTCAAAGTAGAGATTAGCTTGGCCTCCTAGTCATGGCAAATGACTGACCAAAGCAATATGGAAGTAGCTAGCTCTATGGTAATGTGAATGGAGCTACTGACGCCACCTAAAGGCAGGAGGGAGGGAAGGATCATAGGACCCTCACCTGGAAGTCAAACCATTATTCCTTTCTTTCCTCCCCAGCTGTGAGCTTGTGAGATTCGCAAATATAGGGAGTAGAAGGTTAGGGAAGGGGACTCTGCAGCTTCCATGAGGTAGTCATTCACAAGAGAGTGAAACTCTGCAGTGAAGTAACGCTTGTCCTCTCCCCAAAGCTTCTTTAATTAATCCCTCACCAATGATAGATTATGCTCTAGAAGGAAGTATAATCAATTTATTTTTTGTCAAGTTGGGCTTTGGTGGCATCCTCACTTTGGTCTGTCTTCTATGCACTATTTAGAAAGTAGACATCTCTTCACATTTCCCAGGCAAACTTAAATTATATATTATATATTATATATTATATATTATATATTATATATTATATATTATATTGTGACTCTTTCCTTCACATTCTCATCATATCCAGAATACCAGAGCTTTATTTAATCCAACTTCAATTTAGCATCCGTTCATCCCCACCCTTTTGGGCCTTCTAAGACTTTAAATCTCGGTTCTTTTCTTTCAACTTTCTCAAGATCAACTTAGTCAAGTTCCATGCAGAATATCATGTAGTATTTGGCACTATATACCAGCATCATTCTATTTAGCCCATTTATAATTGAATCAGTTTTATCCAGCAGGTATGTATGCATAAACTGACAAGTGTCTATCAAAATATCCAGTGAAGAAATGATCTGGCTGTGTGTGTGTGTGTGTGTGTGTGTGTGTGTGTGTGTGTATGTGTGTGCACATTCATATACATGTGTAGGTATGCACATGCACTTGTATATACATGTAGATGTCTTGGGTGGATAGTGCATGTCTTCCTTAATCACATTCTATCTCATTTTTGTTGTTGTTTTGTTGTTGTTGTTGAGAAAGAGGCTCATAGAGCCCAGGCTATTCTTGAATTTACAACACTGTCAAGGAAGACATTCAACTGCTCATCCTCATGTCTCTGTAAGAGTGTACCACGTGCTTCGTTTTACAGTTCCAGAATCAACTCCAGACCTTGTGCATGGTAAGCACACACTCTACAAAATGAACTGCCTCCCCAACTCTTATCTTTCACAGATAAGGAACCTGGTTCTCAGCAATGAAGCAGACCAGATGACCAGTGAGCACCATCTTAAGGTGAGATTACTGAAGTGTGCTGCTGAGCCAAGCTTTTTACATGTGTGCTTAATTCATGTCACTATGCTTGTATGACAAGCACTTTACCACCAGGCCATCTCCACCACCCGTTGGAAGACTTATTGTAGGTTACCTTCACACCCTTTCACTATTTTTATTACAAAAAAATTTACTGTAAAATGTTATTACTTACTTCTATAATACAAAAAAAAATGTAAGACTACTTAATTGCAGCTTGGAAGAGAGAGTCATCATACACCATCTTAGCAGGGTGAACAAGAGGTGAAGGGATATATGGACAGGATAGAATTATTCTTATTTGAAATCCAGAGCCATAAAACTCAATTTTTCAGGATTTACTAAGCAATTAAATTCTCAGATGGAGTATTCATAATGACAGCAATTATCTTTCCTGTTCAAGGATATAGAATTATCTTTAATAAATAAAATTGTGAAATACAAAGAGAAATCATGATATTCTGTAATTACCTTGAAAGTAAAATTTCATAATTTATTCTTTGCATATTCAGTTAAGAAAAAGGTCCCCGATGACTCCATGCTGTAAAAAGAAACTATCAAGATTTGGGGAGGTTTTTTAACTTCTGTGTGTTTCAGAACCTTCATGTTTGATGCTGGCACTACATCTATGCACACTGTGCTCACTGGACTTCTAGCTGAGCCAGTGGAGCCCTTGGCACTGTTGCCCTGTCTTGTACAATGAATATCATGGCTAGACAGAGCATGAGAACTACAGGTTACCACTAGATCACCTTTGCAGCTTTTTCTCCTTAAGACTTAACTTCATAATAAGACATATACATTAGAAACACATAAAACATTTCCTTAAGGAAAAGACCCTCAAGGCTGGGAAGAGTAAACTATTTGCTATGTATAAATGAGGGCCAAACTGAGTTCCAATCCCCAGCATCCCTTTAAAATGGCCAGGAGCACCTGTAATCCCAGAGCTACAGAGACAGGCAGATCCCTGGAGCTGACTGACTAGGAAAGCTAGCCAAATAGGCAAGCTCCAGGTTGAAGGAGATAACCATTCTTAACCAGAAGGTGTTCATGGGACTGAAGAAAGGGCTTACCAGGTAAGAGTGCACACTGCTCCCTCAGTTTCTGGCACTCACATGAAATAGTTAATGACAGAGTATGAGTCCAGATCCTGGTCACCCAGCTCCTTCTGGACTCCATAGGCATCTGCACTCACAAGTGCACAATACTCCCCCAAACATATACTCATTATTAAAAGTAAAATGAAAATATAAATAAATGAGTGTTCAGAAACTGAGGAAGACACCTAATACCCATCTCCACACACAAGCACACCCATGTGAGCACATACACACACATGTTCATGAACAAAATATTGAAAGAGTCCAGATAAGTTGGGAAAGAAGACTTGGGGGAGACAGTTGTGATTGTGATACATTGTAGATAAGTATGAAATTATCTGAGAATGACCAAGGAATTAAACAAATAAATGCATAACCCAATAATTAATTGTGCTAAAGCAAGTCACTTGATAATACATTAAAAATTAATACCATCCTACCAGACAAACTATTTTTTTAATCAACATGAAATACATTATCAATTCTGTCTGGGTTTTGTAGAAGGGTCTTGTGTTCATGAACTGATCCTCAATTAGGTGGCCTTACTCCTACACCAACCGGTACTGTTTTATTCTGGCATTGCAGTTTGCTGCCACGGTGTGCCAGGTTGAGCCCAAGCCTCATACTGAGCCTTATTCCCACTTTCCCCAATGCTATTGAAACATACCACAGTGCACATATGCATACTGTGGGATCCTGCTCTCTTCTGGTTGTTGTCATTCTGCCGCTGTAGCAACAATTGGAGATTTACTGCCTGTCAATGCACAGAACAACCATATAGTACCAGTCAGTGCTTGGAAAGGTGAATATACACACAGGGAAATTGAACAGTTTCAAAAAGGAAAGGAAGGCATGAATGCACAAAAGGAACATGAGTACGCTGGTCCTGAACAGTACGCTTGGGGAGAGAAGAACCCAGTGTCACAGGGAAGAGTGAGAGGACAGAATACATGAAGCTCAGTGACCAGACCAGGCTATAGACAGCCAGAACTCTGCTTTTCTGCATGTTTACTGCCTATGGGCTGTGGCTACACCTAACCAAAATGAAAATCACCATTTATTCACAGGTGCATCAGTCTGACCTGCATGAGAAAATACAGTGTTTAACATCTACATTCCCACAGCATGAAGAATGTCACTGCATCTCCCACATCATCCTGTTAAAGGTGCACTGAGTACAAAGAGCACCTGATTCCAATAAAGGATTGCACCAGGGACGCAAGGTTATAAGTAGAACTAGTTTGTTAAGAAAGGAAACGTAC